TGCCTCCAGGGCAGAAGCCATAGAAAAGTCACAGGCACAGAATATTTTATATTTAGGATGTGGATCTAAATATTTCTGCTGTGCTGAAGTGACAAATGCAGGGATGGTTTTCTTGCTCCACCAGAGTCTTTCCTAAGGCTTTAAGTGCTGCACATGCCTAGGTTTGGTCAGCCTGGAGAAGAGGCTCGCAGAAGCCATAGAAAAGTCACAGGCACAGAATATTTTATATTTAGGATGTGGATCTAAATATTTCTGCTGTGCTGAAGTGACAAATGCAGGGATGGTTTTCTTGCTCCACCAGAGTCTTTCCTAAGGCTTTAAGTGCTGCACATGCCTAGGTTTGGTCAGCCTGGAGAAGAGGCTCAGGGGTGACCTCCTGGCTCTCTGCAGCTCCTGCCAGGGCTGGAGAGAGGTGTGGGATGTGTGTCCTGCCAGGGCTGGAAAGAGGAGAGAGGGAATGGCCTTGAGCTGAGCCAGGGCAGAGTCAGATTGGATGTGAGGAGAAATGTTCTCCCTGTTGTGGTGTTCAGCACTGGATATTGCCCAGGGAGGTGGTGCAGTCACCATCCCTGGAGGTGTTTCAGAGGTGTCTGATGTGGCACTGGAGGATCTGGGTTAGGGTTTAGGTTCCAGCAGTGACAGGTTAAGGGCTGGACTGGATGATCTCTGAGATCTCCCAGAGCCCTGAGGATTCCTGAGACCCAGGTGCCCTGAGTGGTCACACTGAGTGTTGTAGGATGCACAGGAGGTTAGAACTGGAGATGCACAAGCAATGACAGGTTGCATTAACTCAGAGGGCAGGGGGGAGAGGTTGTCTTTGCAATGTGTATCACTCACATTCCAAATGAAACAAACTTTTCCAGCCAAATTGCTTTTGGAATGTTTCCCTCATCCTTTGCTTTGCAGGTTTACACACAGAGCCTAAGCACATGTTCACATTGGTTCCTCCCAAACTCACACTCCTAGTCAAATATCTGGTTTGAACTATTCACCTAAATACAACCCATGCAGGTTAGAGTCCAATTAATTGAAAAGATTTCTCTGTTTAGTAGGTAGATATATTTTTGGTACAGATTTTATGGTACAGATAATATCACTTCCAGTGCAAAACTATTCAGTTTAAAAGCTCTGCCCTTTTACAGGCACATGACAACTATTTAAATCTAGTTTATAAAGGTGAGAGTGCAAATAAATGTCAGTTCCAGTTAATGACATCAATTGAATGTGTGTGACTGGGTCAGAATTAGGTTCTTTGCTATTTTACACAGTCCATCAGAAAAAAAAACACATCTAAGACAGCAGAACTTGGCACTCCCAAGCAGCTTTTGCTACCTCTTGCTAGAGAACAGAACAAGTGGCTGAGCTGTCAGAACTCTTGGTTAGTAAACACAGGCTAAAGTGAAGGAAATTGATACAAAAGGGTTTGTAGCAGCTCCTTACACTGAGTCTGAATCTGTGTCATAGATTTAAAAGCCAATTTGTCTTTTTTTAAAAGGAAAGAATTCTGTATAAAAGTGCCATTTGATGAGCAAGCACAGAAAGACAAAAACAACTTCACCTCATACACAGTTTGAATCATAAATTTTCAAAGTCAGTCTTTGCTTATCAAGAAACAAAGCAAAACCCAAACAAAAAGCTCACAAAAACCCAAACAGACAAACAAAATCCAAACCAAAACCCCACAAAGCAATAAAAAATAGATACTTTCTAGAAGGACATGAGAGGAGAGAGATGATCATTAGATCACAGTGTATCAGCTCTCTCAACTTGGAATTGTTTTAAAAACTGGTTTTGTTCCCCTGAATTTCAGTGAATTTCATTCCTCTAATGCCAATCAGAATTTAGTTGTACACATGTCAAACTACCAAACATTTATTTTCATCTACTTCCCTCCTCACATTCCTCTGGGAAAGTTTATGGCATCTTTACTGAAGATTTTAAAGTAGAAGCTTCTTCTATTTGCAATAAAACTCTGAAGGGCAACTGAGACATCTCAGTAGACTTTACCTGTCCATCAGCTCTCCAAGGATCCCAGTTCCTCACCCAGGTTAGATGTATAATGTTGGGCAGTGTGAATAACCAACCCATGCACAAAAATGAGCTCTAAGCCTGTTATCATAGATAACTCTGTGAGCTGTTTTTCTGGACAAAAAAATCTGCACTGTATCTAAGAGACTAGGAGGGAAACAGCAATCAATAATAATAACCCCCCCCAATTATCACCAGTCATATATGTTATAAAAGAGGGAAAAAAGGGAAAGGGAAAGGAGTGGTTAAGAGCCACATTTAGCCACTGCATAGAATCATAGACTCCTGGAATGCTTTGGGTTGGAAAAAACTTTAAAGCTCATCTCATCCCACCCTGCCCTGGGCAGGGACACCTCCCCCAGCCCAGGCTGCTCCAAGCCCATCCAGCCTGGCCTGGAACACTCCAGGGATGGAGCAGCCACAGCTGCTCTGGGCACCCTGTGCCAGAGCCTCAGCACAGTAACAAATTCCTTCTCTATCTCTAACTTCAGTTTACCCTTAATCAGTTTGAAACAATTCACCCTTGTCTTACCACTACAGTTCCAGTCCCTCTGCAGCTTCCCTGGAGCCCCTTCAGCTCCTGCAGGTGCTCTGAGGTCTCCACACAACCTTCTCTTCTCCAGCTGAACAGCCCCAACTCCCTCAGCCTGTGCTCACAGGGAGATGCTCCAGTGCTCTGAGCAACTTGGTGGCCTCCTCTGCACTTGCTCCAACAGTTCCATGTCCTCCTGATGCTGAGGCCCCAGAGCTGTGTGCAGGATTCCAGGTGGGTCTCACAGAGCAGAAAAAAAAGGGGAGAGTCACCTCATTGAACCTGCTGCCCACACTGCTGTGGCTCAGCCCAGGACTGAGTTGGTTTCTGGGCTGAGCTCACATTGCAGCTCATGAGGAGTTTGTCACCACCATCACCCCAAGTCCTTCTCCCAGGGCTGCTCTCCATCACTTCTCTGCAGCCTACAAGTGTGTCTGGGGTTGCCCTGACACAGGTGAAGGAATTTACACTTTGTCACACTCCATCAGGTTTGCATTGTTCCACCTCTCCAGCCTGTCCAGGTCCCTCTGCATGTCCCATCCCTTCCCTCCAGCTGGGACTGCCCCACACACTTGGTGTGCTCAGAACTTGCTGAGGGTGCACTGGTCCCACTTACCCAGGCTGCCAACCAGGGTGTTGACCAGAGTCATGCAGGAAGGTTCCTCAATGCACTGAAATTCAGCAAGGTGTGATAGACCTTCATGTGAAGATTACTGCAGAATCAGACCTCAAGGAAATACTTTTAACACATTAGGAGAAAATGTAAAATCTTCTTATGAAATATGATGTTTGGATTTATAACTGAGTTTCCCCTGGTAAGTTCTGGGAAATTTCCCTAAATCAAATTAAACTGAAGGAGCTCAGCTGGGCTCATAAATCACTTGGCTGAACTAGACATGCTTCAAGTGATGCATGTCCAAGTCAGGAGGCATGACAATAAATTTGCTGACATGAAATGAGCCTGTTAGGCCTAGAGAAAACTGTGAAAAGGCACTTTTTATACCTTGCCTAGACAGCTACAAATGAGGCTCATTTCTGTAAAATGCTGGATGAAGTGGCCACATGTGAAGCTACAGCCACACTGAATCTTATTCACAGTAATGAAAAGTCTTCTGCTTCAAGAGTTTCAGAGGTTACTCTAACATTTGAACCTGAAAATGCTCAACTGAATATCAGGTCTTGGATATCTGATTCTCTGTGTCTGAGCTGCCAAGCAGGAGGGAACTACACAGGTAAAACCCTGACTAACACAAAGGTTGTGAAGGGTCTGGAGCATCTCTGATGGGAGCAGGGCCTGGTTAGTCCAGAGGAGAGGAGAAAACTGAGAGGGACCTCATCAATCCATACAAATAACTCCAAGCCAGGTGTCCAGAGGATGGGGCCAGACTCTTTCCAGAGGTTCCCAGTGACAGGACAAAGAGCAATGGCCATAAAATCAAACCACTAGAAGTTCCATCTCAACATGAGGAAGAACTTTCCATGGAGAAAGTAGAGATTTTCCAAGGAATCTCAGATGGGAGCAAACCTCACTATTTATGCCCTGAACCACAGAAATTTGAACCTGTTTTCTGAAGTGAAAAGGATGTTAAAAGGACACACAAACAAACACATAGCCAGAAACTGATCTCCTTCCTCCTGCCACCATCAAAAACTCCTGCTAACAACTATGACTCCTCCAAAGAACTTCATTGCTCAGACATCTCCCCAGGAAAGGGTTGGGAAAAACAGCCCAGAGCAATTATTAATTGCTTCCGTTAACATACAAAATCTTGTTATAGACAACAATAAAACACACATTAAGGCACAGAATTAGTTATCAGCATATTTAAAACCTTCACAGAATAATCAGAGAATTAATATTATTTTGGCTCGAATTATCAGAGTGAACACAAAGAGTAGAATATTATTACACAGAAATTAATAACAACAGCAACAGCAATAACAATAATAGTTAAACTTAGTACCTGCCTCAGGTGATGGTATGTGCTGGGAGGTACAGCAAGTTCTCAGCATCCCAGGTCCTGTGCTGGGAGAGGATGTGATTTGGGTTCAGACTGAAGGAGGGAAATCAAGGTTAGATGTGAGAAAAAATGTTTTTCCCTGTTGTGGTGGTGAGACCCTGTCCCAGGGTGCCCAGGGAGGCTGTGGCTGCCCCAACCCTGGCAGTGTTCACAGCCAGGTTGGATGAGCCTTGAGCAACCTGCTCTGCTGGGAGGTGTCCCTGCCCAGGGCAGGGCTTGGGGCTGGATCATCTCTAAGCTCCATCCCAACCCTTAAATTCTATGATTCTGTGATTCTGATCTCAGTCAGACATAAGTGTTTACATTGCATTGTCTATTCCA